GAACTAATATACTATCTCCTTTAAGATACCTAATGACGAAACTGCGGAACCACGCCAAATCCGAGAAAAAAAATTTATCTCGTAATAATTACTAAAAAAGAGATTCCGAAACTAAAAAAATATTTGGAGATCATCCGATTACCAGGATAATGATCTACCTTTTTTTTTAGTTATATAGATTTTAATTGATAAATCTTCTTTTAAGGTTATACTTCATATAATTATGAAGTTTTACATACAGAACTGTCTGAAATAACAAATGAAAATGCTTCAATTATCAATTGGAGGTTTGTATTTCTATATAATTATTAATTTACATTTTATAATCTTATAATTTTTATTTTATAGAGACCAAATGAAAAAAATAATACAGAAATCTATATTTCCACATTTGCTACTTTCTTAGAAGTTAAAATGGATTATCAAAATGGCAATTCTCAATTATGCACTGTATTGGACAAGTTTGCAAAGCGATATCATGCAGCAAAATCCAAGTCTATTCCTCGATTGTCTTCTTTCCTTTATGATCTTAACCGTAATGTGGACCCGACTGTTAATATTAAAAGCGGTGCTATGATTCGTGTGCCAGTCAAATTTGTTAAGCGGCGTAAAACACAAGAATCTGGTAGAAAACGAAAACAACCAGCTTTAATTAACGAAAATAAAGAAAATCTTGACTCTCATGCTATTCCTAGTCGAAAAGTAAGAAAAGTTAGTAAAAAGAGTCACAATTTGAGTAAGAATATATCAAAAAATCAACCAAATTAAAGGTAATTACTTTTGTTATATTTATTTATATTTAAAAAGTAGCGTAATTTTATTTGATGTATTCTTTTTAATTTTAGGATTCAAGACTTTTAGAATTTTATAATAAGACCAATTGGAAACGAATTATTCTGGAACATTTCTTGGTCTTGTACAGTGGTCAGTGTGGTAACTTCGGAAGATTTTTGTTTTTCATTTTTAGAAAGATACATGGAGAATTAATACCAATGTTATTATAATAAAAATTTTATTAAAAATTTATAATAAAAACTTTATATTCCATTCAATATATCTATCATCTAGCATAAAAGTTTTTAGTAAAAAAAACGTGTGATTTGTGAAATGCGTCGCTAAATTGCCATTATTATAACCGATCATGTGCTATGCCACATCCAAATTTAGTAAGATGGTCATATGCGCCACGTGATCCTCTTAACTTTAGATGTGCAAGCCACTGATCAGCGTTATATTATGTTCAACTAGTGCGATATCTTTTCTTTCTTCACATCATGGAGGAATTTCTGAAACTTCCCCAAAACTTGCAAACACAGGAAAACCTTGATCGCTTACTGGACGCAGAAGCGAAAAAAAGAGAGCTTGAACAAAAAAGATTGGAGGTAGAGGAACTTCGCCTCAAGCAAACAGGTAACGACTTTGTGACTCGGGCGTTGGGGACAGAGTAGTGTGTACACAGACGTAGTAATAGGTTTTTCTTATGCTGCGAGTTTGCCAGGAGAATGTTACGAAAGTTAACCCGTGTTCTATTCTTTTTCTAGTCTTTCTAAGTCAGGATCAGGTCTTATCATGTATTCCACCTGACCTTGAATATTCCAACGAACGAAATTCCAGTAGATCAACGACACAGGGGGAATCCACAGCACCTTCGGAATTGGTTTTGTGGGAGGGATTTTTCGATGAAGTGGCTTCATGTTCCTTTGGACAACAACAAAAATATAGTCAGCCGAATTTCCGCAAACACGAGAATGTTGCTAATGAAGAATCAGTTCGGATAGCCATGTACACTAACATCTTTGACGTTTTGAATACAGTAATGAAGGATGAGGGAATCATGTTCACAAACCAGCGTCTCGATAGCATGCTTGGGGTGCCAGACTTCATTGGTAGAAAAGAAAATCAACTCATACTGACAATAGAAGTCAAAAAAGAATGGGTTTTGTCTCTTGGTGATCTAACATTTCCTGATTACTATGCTGTTGATGCTAAAGCACGAACAGTTATATCACAAGCATATACATATATGGCTAGTAACATGCTTCAGTACGGCGTATTAACAACATATCATCAGCACTGGTTTCTAAAGCGACCAGAAGACAAACGTACGACATTATATATTTCGAAAACGCTCAGTCTTCAATCTGAAACCCCTACAGTGCTAAAAGCATATGCGTACCTTGCAAAACGGGCAAAAGAACAACCTTTCTGTGAACATCCTGATATCACCATCGGGGTGCCGAATGAAAATTCTCAATTGGAATCTCCACAAAGATATTCGTTTCGTGCACGTAAGAAACCAGACAATTCTAACAGAGCTCCACAAGAAAGAACGGAACTGCCAGGCTCAGGAAACTTTCAATTTGACAATTTCGTTGGGACATATCTGGGTTATGGCAGGTGCGGAACTACATTCAGATGTAAATATAACGGGCAAGATATAGCGCTAAAACTTACTGATTTGTCAAAAAAGAAATTTCTTTTGCCCGAACTGTTAAAGGAAATAGAAATCTATCACTTTCTCGCAGATATTCAAGGGTTGTTCATACCCAAATTAGTAGGATATGGGTATATGTGGGGTAAGATGTATTTCGCTATTGCAACAACCATTGTCGGCAAATCATTGGAAAGCGGTATAAAAATTACCAGAAAACAGGAACGGAACGCTTATAATGCTTTAATTGAAATACACAGACACAACGTTCTCCATAACGATATCCGAAAGGAAAACGTCATCCTTAGCAACGACGGGAAGAGTGTTTTTATTATTGACTTCGGATTATCAACTATCGATAATAATAAGGTAAAACAACAAAAAGAGATGGATCAGTTGTCCTGCTTGTTAAAAGAGATGGTGGCATAATAGAATTTGAGTTGCAATAATAATACTGAATAGAATTCATGCATCTTTACTACAATAAATACTTGCTTCATTGGCTTTCCATATTGCAAGCCTTGTATTTTGAGCTGAGCGATAGATAGAGTCATATCATTGCACATATTTGTAATGTGTTCGTTTCGCCGTTTATTATTTATGTTGAGACTACTAACATTGTGCACTGGGAGAATTCTCAAGCTTGGACTCGGTACTTCGACAATCAAAATAGTTTAAATTTCATACCAACTCATTGCTTCGGCTTATAAATTACTACAGTATCATAAAAATGATAAAATATACAGTATAGGAATACTCGTATATGATAAATAATGGTTCCACTGAATATGAAAAGGCAATACGCAATTGTGGTTGCTCAAAAAAGATTCCGAGAGAGAAGTTTGCCGAATTACGTGAAGCGTTTCAAGCTCTCTCTAGATCCGAACAAGACATATTTTTAATGGTCCAACTGAAAGCAATGAATGGTGGAGAAATAACTGCCAGTTGACGTCTTAAAAAGAAAACGCGAACTTTTTACTATTGAATTTCTATTTATGCATGAATGTTACTGTAGAGAAACATATAAAAAAAGAATTGTCATGATGTCGCATTAAAAACTTGTTTGTTTTTTATAAAATTTCGCTAGCTCAATTTTTGGTTGCGACCTATCTCTATGATCCGTTAACCTGTGCGAGTTTTCTTAAAAGTGAGTTATTTATAATTAATAGTTATAAATATAAATTTATATAAACTACCAATTTTAAGAAAAGTTTTCTTATAGTAAACTGCTACATTTATATAATAATAATAATTAGGTATGCGAAAAATAACTTTTAAGTTTTTTATATTGGAATATTTATTATTTATTTGCTTTTATTAACATATATTGATATTTACCATTTCTTTACTTTTATTAACCTATATTTACCAAAAATCTATTCTATTAATTTCGGTTGTAAGTTTAGATAAAATTTCAGAATTTTCACTCTCCTTTCCTTCTATTTCATCATCATCATCATTCTCATCCTCATCATCACTATTGTCATAATCATCAAGATTCTCTAAGGTAAGTGTATTGACTCCTTTTTCAATACGTTATTAAGCTTAAACTGTTTGTCGTTAAGTTAACAAAATTATTTGCTAGCAGGGAGTTTAAGTGCATCTAAACTATGAAAGAAATAAACACGTATTAATTAAGTTGAAGGGTCAGATCATCTTTATTGATATAGATTTAAAGAAGAATGAATTTATTGCATGAGCAAAAATAAGTTTAAGAGATAAATATCATTGATTTATTAGAAAATTGTAGTGACTGCCATTTATTGAGGCAGAAATACAAGATATTTATATAAAATACATCAATATGAAATAGATAGTTAAGAAAATAAAGAAATATAAGAAATATAATAAAATAATGAAAATAAATATATTTAAGAAATGTGTGAAATTAGAGATCGCTAAGAAATTAGTGAAATCAGAGAAATCAGAGAAACGGTAGAAAGTTGAGAATTGTGATCGACATAATTATCATTCATTGATTAAGTTTAGTATAGTATTGTGCGTCATAATAAAACTATCACTAACAATATTTTAAAAATAAATCAACATTTTTAAAATTCCTTTTTAATAGAACTCTTTACAATGAATACATTTTTCACTATAGCAAACCAAATAATAAGCATAACCACAAATAAATACTGTGCCATCATCTTCATTTAATGGAAATTTGTAAGAATCACATAATCCAGGTTGTAGTGAATATGTTGTACTATATGCCATTGGTAAGCATCACAAGTCTATTTCTTTTTCCATAATTGCAAATTAATAAATTTTTGGTTGTATATTTTTTTTTTAGTTGTTTATTTAGATCCACTCTTTTCATAATTATAGAAAGTATTGTAATAAAAAAGATTGACTTTATTTGACAAAAATAGATATTATCACATTTTACAATATGCATTTTTAAATACAGGGTTATGGTTCACTATAATTATTAAATAAAATATTTATTAATAATTTTTTTAAATACAATTTGTAATAGAACAAGGACCAAGGTTTTTAGTTTTTATTTTTTTTTATAAAAAAAAATTGGCAGCATTATTCAAAACTTATTTTACAAGTTGACACATAAAATTCTAACCAATTACAGTTAATGCAATTTAGCCAATCATTGAGAAAGTCAGTCATGTTTTCAGATATTGATTAAGGAGAAATTATATCACCAATTCTCTAGTATATATACTATGACCCATTGTTTTGTAGAGTCCAAAATTCTTCGCTTAGATATTGATCTAAAATCACATGAAAACCAAACCTGTTAATGGATTCAACCTCATCGATTAAAGTGCATGTTCTGATTCTAGTCTACATAGATAACACCCTTTAGATAAGTAAGAATAAATACGATTTTAATGATATTTTAAATATTGCAGACAGTTTCTATAGTTTAAATTCTATTCAAATTAACTGAGATAGGTCTGTTCTCTTGTCTTCATTACCTATTACGATACCTGTGTAATTTCAATTTAATAATAATCTACTATGACTTACACCTACTAATCTAAAGATCCCTATTTATTACCTTGGTATTTGGCTTTCCCTTAATAATAACAAGAAATATATTTGACAAAAAACCTCTAATGAGATTAGTTTAGCAATTTAGTTAATAAACAGGAAAAGACTGACTGACAAACAGATTATTTTAATATTTAACTTTGTCCTTCTGCCACAGATTCAATATAGAACATAATTAACTTATCTTCTGAAAGCTAAAAAAAATTTTTTGATAAAAATTAATATAAAATGAAAATAAATTTTAAAATTGTAAAAAATTATTAATACTTTCCCTTTTTTTATTTAATAGAAATATGAAGTGTTTTGCAATAGAAATATAATTTGACTATTATAGCATATACCATAAATAAATTTGTTTCATTCATATTATATCATGTGATTTTTTCAAATTTAGATGTAGATTATCATATTATTAATCATATTATTATTTATTTTTAATAATATCACAAGATTTATTTTTATCACGAGATTTTGTTGATATTTGTTTATTTATTTTATATATATATATATATATATATATATATAATCTTTTTAATTTTTTTTTTTATTAATTTTTTTTTACAATCAACAAACTTAATTTTTTTTTGCTTTTAAAATGGAAGCAATTTTATCTACAATACAACAAATATTATCGGTAATTTTGTTATAATAATTGTCCTTTGCTATGTTTCAAATAATAAATATTCATAAAAAAATTTATAGGAGATTAAAGCTTTGCAAGAAGCAAACCTAACACTAATGCTAATAATAATGCCAATACTAATGCCAATACCAACACCAATAACAATGCTACTAACCCTATTAAAAAACTAATACAACGATATATTTCTGCTAAGAAGATTCGTAAAGTTTTTCAAATGAACAAAATGAAGTATCAAAACATTTTGGTAAGAATAAATAAATTATAAATATTATATTATTTATAATATTTTTTTTTTTTTTTATTTTTTTAAGTCAGAGATTCGTTTTTATATGTTGACTTTGAAAGTTGATTTCAAGATCAGCTACAAAAATCAAGACATCATTCTTCTATCAAAGATGATAAAAAAGGTATATAAAGTATTTTGTTATTTAGCAGTTAGGATAATATTTATTATTATATTGTAACAATAGTTCAAAAAAAGAAATCCAACAATTCAAGTTATAATGGAAAGTTGGTTAATAAAAGAAATTATTAAAAAATACTTATAACATCGTCATGATTATAATAATCATAAAGAAAATAAAGAAAATTATGATGATGATGATGATGATGATGATAACTAACTTTTCACCTCTAAAAAAACGAAAATAAAAATTGTATGAATTATATAGCTAACATTTACAAAAAAAAATAATATAAATTTATTAATCAATTGATCTTTATTATTATTATTTTTTTAATTATTTATTAGATGATCTCCTGCTTCACTATCACCACCATAACATTTTTATTTAATTTATGATGAAAATTTTGGTAATTTTATTGGTTTTTTTTTAAAAAAATAATAAAAGATGAAATATTTGAATTTAATTTATTGTTATTTCTTTCTTATTTTATTTTATTTTCTAATTATTATAAGACACCACTACCACCAATATTGTTGTTAACACCACCACTACCACTAATATTACTGCTGATACCACTACTATTACCAATGTTGCTGCTGCTCCTAAAGTTACCGCAAATAGAGTTGCTGCTACCTCTAAAGTTGCTGCTGCTGCTCCCAAAATTGCTGCTGCCTCTAAAGTTACCACTACCCCTAAATTTGCTGCTGCCTTCACCTTTACTACCACCACCAATGTTGCTGCAAAAAAAGTTGCTGCTATCCTAAACTTGTCACTATCAAAGCTGTCACCAATGTTTCAAAAAAAAGTAATTTTTATATTTATTTTTAATATTACATTATGAAATAATATATATAATATAATA